TATAATACAAATTATTTTTTATATTTTTATTAGATGCGTCTCACTAAGATGTATATACGCTCTAAATTTCAAGTAATTTGGATTTCTAGAAAAAATATTAAAATTAAAACACTATCGGACAACTGTGACCATGCGACAAAGTATTATATATTTAAAAAAACTCTTCCCAACGCCTATATGTGAAAATGAACAGTGATTTCGCCTACCCTCATCACCATTTAAACTTCATCACACGGTCACAGATGTTTGGTAGTGTTTTAATTTTCTTTATTTTTTTTACAAATTCAAATTACTTGAAATTTGGAGCTTGTGTACATCTTAGTGAGGCACACCTAATAAAAATATGAAAACAATAATTTGTAAAATATAAGTCGACCAAAATACCCTCAAAAATTTTCAGGGGTATTTTGATCAATTTATATTTTCATATTTTTATTAGGTGAGCCTCACTAAGATGTATTTCATATTTTTATTAGGTGAGCCTCACTAAGATGTACTTACGCTCCAAATTTCAGATCATTCTGATTTGTAAAACAAAAATTAAAATTAAAACACTATCGAACAACTGTGACAGTGCGATGAAATTTGGATGGTGATGAGGGTAGGTATACAGCAGCTGATGTTTTCTCTACGCAAGGAGCCTTGCCTCCCCTCTCTCTCCTCAGCCCTCCCCTCTCCCTCCTCAGCCCTCCCCTCTCTCTCCGTAGGGGTGAGAGCAACCATTCTTGGCACACTTATTCTCGGTGGAGGCTCCCTAGCCGTGCTCTTCCTCCATCCATCCTCACGAGGCTCTCTCTCTGCCCAGTGTGAGCACAGCCAGAGCCCTGCCTCCTCTCTCTCCCCAGCGATGATCTTCCTCTTCCGACCATTCTTGACAACGGCTTCTCCATCAGGTCCGTTCCTCCCTCTCTCTCTCGCCCCCAATAGAGTTCTCTCTCTCGAACCCCCAATCCCAATACCTGGCCCCAAACACAACAATGTGATGCGTTTCTGTTTCTCTTTTCCCCTGATGCCAATACCTGGTCTCAAAACACAACAATGTTCCATGAATGATATGTGCTTTGGTGGATTTTGTCGGTGTTTGATTTGTCGATTGGTATTGTTTATTTTGATATATTTTTTTCTGCAATTATTGGTGGATTTTATCGGTGTTTAGTAGATTTTGGTGTTGGATATGATTTTCTAATGTGGAATATGGGGAAATAAAGGAAGGTATTTTGACTTTCGTGTACTATATTGAAATTTTATTGCTAGGGTTTCTGTATTTGGTACTTTGTTTCTGAAACGGAGAAAGTAAGCAAACTATTGCAGTTAATATGATGATGATTAAGGAATTGTATCAAAATGTTTAAAAATCTATTCCCCGATCAAGTTTTGTTAGTTAGAATTGGATTCAGGGAAACTGTAATGCTCACCTTTGAAACTCTTTCAAATAATCCTGCTCGAGCATTTTCATTATAGTGGAAAGAATTGGAATAATATATCAAACTACCATCCTTAGTATCTTATTGACCAGGTAGGCACTGCATCAAAAGGACAAGTCAAGTATATGCCATCAGTTCCATGAATATCCAACCTTACATCCTCATTATATCACATTAACGTATATAGCGTAAATTGATGATCAACAAAATAATGGTCCATAGAAGATTGCTCTATTCTTTGTCCCTACAATTGATTGAAGGAAAGATGCTCATTCCTGTAACAAAAGATCATTATATCACATTAATGTATAGAGCGTAAATTGATGATCAACAAAATAATGGTCCCTAGAAGATTGCTCTATTCTTTGTCCCTACAATTGATTGAAGGAAAGATGCTCATTCCTGTAACAAAAGATCATTATATCACATTAATGTATAGAGCATATTTTTAAACAACACAATATTAGAACACAATAAATTCAGCAGCATATAACACAACACTTGCTTGATTCATCACCAATACTATATATGTTCCATGTCTTCACAGGTCTCATCTATAGGTACTATAGTGTCGTTTAACCTGTAAGAAAAAAAAGCCTTATAAAGATTTAATAAATCCATGTTACATTCACGAAGAGTAAAAAGATGGAGTAATTATTTATGCATACTTTGAATGAGCAAATGATGGACAATTTCTTTTGTCATGTTCACTGTCCTTACAAACTGCGCACTTTCAAGTACCATACTTGACATTTTCTTTTGCTTTCGCTTTCTCTGGCTCTACCTCAGATCAAGATGTATATCTTGTAG